TTTAATATGTAAAATGCAAGTTTAACGATTTATAATAATTTAATGAATTTTAAAATAAAAATTACAATTGCAATATCTATTAAAAAATTTAAAATTTATATTTTTGGTGACTGAAGGGAGCTGGACTCGAATTACAGTAGTAATTCAAGTCATCATATATAAACTAAGCATTATTCTCTTTGTTTTTTCAGGACAATTTCGTGAATCATGATACCATGATTTACAAATAAAGCATTGTCTCTTATTTCTTTTTCTTGAAGTGTCTTCTTGAATATCTCCATTTTTGCTGTTTGAGTTGTTTTTAATGGCTGATAGATATCTTTTATTAGCCGGTCTACCTTTTCCTTTATGTTGAAGTGGATTTGTAATTTTTGTTTCGCTAAGTATGTCATTGTGTTGATCTGCATTTCGCATCATATCTATTTGTACTTTAATAAACTGTTGTAAAACTTCTTCAAAAGTCCGAATAGATTTATTTTCAATTGCCAAGTTTAAAGCTTTCTTGCAAAGTCCAATATCATGATCATATTATTCTTTTTTTGAATCCAAATATTTAACAGGACCACTATAAACATCTTGTCTGTGAATAGTATTAATTACAGAAAAGGTTCTGAGTTGGTTTGGTTATTTCTCATTTTCAATAAGCTGAATTGATTCTTCAGAAACATTTTCTGTTGTTGTAAGACCTTCTTTAGAATACCAATGGGAAGGAATTAGTTTGATATTCAACTGTGCAATTTTTGATTGCAACATTACTGCAAAAAATGTCTGCAGAACAAATTCAGCATAAATTAAATAAAGACATGTACAGTAATGAGTTCCATCATCAAGTAATACAATAAACTGTGATCGATTTGTTTTACTTTGAATATGTTTAATTTTCCAAATTTTTTTCACGAACCCATTTGAACAATCCTTGAGAGTCATATCAAGTAGAATTTGTGGCTTCTCATAATCATCTTCCACAAATCCTATATTATACTGATTCTTATCCTAAATTTATAAAATCAAATGTTATTATGCAGATCAAAATTAAATTACATGATCATATATGGGAAATTTTACCTGTAATACCATATTTCTGATTTCTTTAAACAAAGTTTTATATAAAAAAGCCTCAACCATCTGCTTTTGTTGTAGAGCTAATGAATTTGGTGTGAGATACTTTTTACAAATTTCATCAATAGGCTTAAAAATTGTGCTAGAAACTTGTGGCATTCCTATAGTAGGATTCATATTGTGGAATTCTTATAATCTTGAATATTTAGCTTCATCTTTTAGCCATAATTTAATCTCTGAATAAAGCTGACATAATGAACTTCCTGAATTAGCTTCCATTTTTTAACACGATTCATACTTTCCACTCGTTGAGTTGAATGTGTATTTGCATAAAACTACGTTTAATAAATCCATAAGTCCAGCATGTTTTAGTAGGATACAGTACACACTCACAGTATTTTTAAACTATGGGAAATTTTATCATTAGTTCAGCCCAACGATTCTCAAAATCTGATACAACAAGTGAATTACGCAAAGCATAAAATTCTCCAATAAAATCATCCCATTTATTGTTTAACTTTTTTTTAACTTTTTATCAGATTTTGCCGAATATGGAAAGCATAATACCTTACTATCGTTTCAGGATATTTGTTGCTAATTGTAACTTGCATAGCAGGATCAGCATCTATGAATCTTATTGCAGGTTGAAGGCCTTCAGTGACACGTATTGTTTGTTCTAAAATCCATTCATATGTTGATACAGTTTCATCACAAACAACTGCTGTTTACACAATTCTGCTTTGTTGATTAGAATCTATTATAATAAATACACTTAAAGGTATCAAATATTTATTAGTTTTACATGTGTTAACATTAATAACAACATCATGATACTGAGATCACATTCTTTTTTGATTTGGTGACATCCAAAAAATTTTGGACAGTCTATTATCAATCCTTTCCAAATCAACTTGAAAATACCGCTCAGAATCTTCTTCATATAATTTCTTTAAATGTTCAAGAAGTATTGCTGCATCATTTTTAACCTGAATATCAGATTTAAAACTATATATTGCACTGTAAAGATTTTGATTATAAATATCCTGATTTGGATATTTGTTTCATAATATTCTCTTTAAAACAGTAGCACCAAAATGACATTCTTGAACATAAAACTGTATTTCTTTCATGATATCATCTGGTATTTTGCATGATATAGGTGAAAATTCTTGGAGATCAATTGTACTTTGTAATGTATGATTATGTTCATTAAAAAATTTGTTAATAAATACTAAATTTAGACATTTACAATATGCTGCATTTACAAGAAATCCACAACCAATACAAGCTGATTCTTGGTTTCGATTATGTGTAGGATCGACATTTTTTTTAGGTTCATATTTACCTCCATGATGACATTTATATGTTTTTCAGGTCCAGTTATCATCTTCTTTTTCGCATCTTACTATTCTTATTTAAAAACCTGTTTTTTGCATATTGTTTTAAGTATTCCTCAAAGACTTCAAATGTTGTAAATGTTTGCCCAGTATATATATCTTTCAATAAACTATCAGGTTTATCATCAATATCGCTGGCGTCATTTATATCATTTTCATCAGTATTTACATCATTTTTGTTATCATTTTCATCATAAATGATATCAGAAAAATTTAGAATATCGTTCATCTAAAAAAATGTCATTAATAAGGCTAAAATAATATAATAAAACTTTCTTTATATCAACTTACATTTGGGAAGTTTAAGGAAAGAATAACAATGAACGCAAAATTTAATGTAAAAGGATTAATAATCAAAAGAGAATTAAAATTAAAAAAAAAGTTTAATTAATCGATTAATTTATCATCATATAATATTTCACATAATAAACACGTGATATAGAATATGGATACCCCTGGTACCAACCTAATATTTACATATAAAATTACTTTTTTTTGAAACGTTAGTGGCAACTTTGATGGCAGCAACTTTGGGGGTAGCAGCAACTTTTTTTGCAGCAAAATTGATGGTGGTAGTAGAAGTGGAGGCAGCAGAACTTTGGAGGCAGCAGCAACTTTATTTGCGACAACTTTGGAGGTAGCAGTAGCAACTTTAGAGTAGCGGTAATTTTGGGGGCAGCAGTAGCAACTTTATTTGTGGCAACTTTGGAGGTAGCAGTAGTAACTTTAGAGGTAGCGGCAACTTTGGAGGCAGCAGGAGCAACTTTGGGTGTAGCAGCAATATTATCTACTATGCAACAAATATTATTGGTAATTTTTTTAAATAATAATAGTCCTTTGCTACGTTTTAAATAATAAATATTAATAAAAAAATTTATAGGAGATTAAAGCTTTGCAAGAAGCAAACCCAACGTTAACACCAACGCTAATACTAATGTTAATGCCAACACTAACACTAACACCAACACTAATACCAATACCAATAACAATGCCACTAACTCCTATTGAATAACCAATACAATGATATATTTCTGCTAAGAAGATTTAGGAAGTTTTTCAAATAGACAAAATGAAGTATTAAAACATTTTGGTAAGAATAAATAAATATTATATTATTTATAATATTTATTTTTATTTTTTTATTTTTTCAAGTCGAAGGTTTGTTTTTATATGTTGTCTTTGAAAGTTGATTTCAAGATCAGCTACAAAAACCAAAACATCATTCTTCTATCAAAAGTGATAGAAAAGGTATGTAAAGTATTTTGTTATTTAGCAGTTAGGATAATATTAATTATTATATTGTAACGATAGTTCAAAAAAAGAAATTCAATAATTTAAGTTACGAATGGGAAGTTGGTTAATAAAAGAAAGTATTAAAAATACTTACAACATTATCGTGATTATAATAATCGTAAAAAAAATAAAGAAAGTTACAATGATGATGATAATAATAATAATAACCTACTTCCCGCCTTCAAAAAAAGAAAAAAAATAGTATAAATTATATAGTCAACTTTTTACAAAAAAAAATAATATGAATTTATTAATCAATTGATTTTTATTATTATTTTATTTTAATTATTTTTAGATGATGTTCCTCCTCCTCCTGCTCCACCATCACCACCACCACATTTTAATTTAATTTATGATGAAAATTTGGGTAATTTTATTGGTTTTTTTAAATAAATAATAAAAGACAATATTTGAATTTAATTTATCGTTATTTCTTTTTTTTATTTATTTATAATTATTATAAAAGATGATGATGATACCACCACCACCAATGTTGTTGCTGATACTACCATCACCACCAATGTTGCTACCATTGCTGCTATTCCTAAAGTTGTTGCTACTGCTTTCAAAATTGCTGCTGCCTCCACCTCCACTACCACCACCAATGTTGCTGCAAAAAAAGTTGCTGCTACCCCCAAAGTTACCGCCATCAAAGCTGCCACTAATGTTTCAAAAAAAAGTTATTTTTATATTTATTTTTAATATTACATTATAAAATAATATATATAATATAATATAATATAATAACAATTTAGAAAAATCAAGAAATCAGAAGATTTATTGTTCTGATTTAGAAGAATCAGGTAAATATTTTATATTTTATATTTAAATTT